AGATGAGTACGTAGTTGGCTCTTATCGATTTATCACGAAAATTTCAAGTTAATTACCTATAACTGCTAACAACTTTAGACACTGTTTCAATAATTTTGGATGCATACGTGAGGTAGAGCGTATAGTTCAATATTGGTGTAGACACAACGCTTTTCAAGTTTTTCATCACATACAACAATATTGGCAAATAAATATTTTATTCAATCCAATATATGCCTTTTTATCATCTAAATACAACAATATATTATCTCATCACCTATTATATATGCCTTAATGTTTATATGTAGGTATTTATATATGGTGCCCGTTTCATTCGCACTCTGATTAGCCGTTCACTGCCATGTGGATTTTATCAGACAATCAGCACGTTGAGTCAGTTAGCCAACCAGGCAAGAGGAAAGGAATGGCTCGTTAGTGGTGAACCCTTCCAGCGGTTTCGCCATTTAATCTCCAGACTCTTCACTATTGTATTGCAGACTGAATTTCTTATATGCCCTGCACTTGCTATTGAATACAGGCTTATTCGTGATTTTTCTGAAGAACATTGCTCGATGCATCATATTTAATTTTTATATACATTTCTACATTCCTAGAAGCATATTTCCCTAATTTGTTCAAAATGCCAATTTACTCTATTCAATAGCAGGTGCTGAAATGTAGACCAATACAAGAGCAGGTACTACCTAAAAATATAGTTGTCTTATTAGTAAGAGAGAAGGAGCTCTTTTTAGCAACTGGCAAAAATTGGAGAACGTAAGAAGTGGAAGAAACCCCGAATCAAGACCTAATTAACGTACCTGCTACCTAAATAATTAACGCTCCCTTTTTATTAAATTATCAACGTACCTTGTAATTACCTAAAACATAAATGTATCTATAATCATGGATGACACCCCATTTACACTAAAAGTCCCCAACTTTAACTTCATTAACCCCAAATATCCGGTAGGTGTACGCTCGTATTCACTTTGGAAATTCCCAGAACGTCCAATATTAAAATATGAGGATAATTCTCGAACACTTAAGATATGCTATGGTGCAATTGAAATCACCTTTGCTGATCTAATAAATTCTATTGACTTTTATATATATAAATGAGAGGAAACTACGCAAAGTGCGTTAAGACTTTCAAGAAGATTGTAAAACTGCAAAATGTTCTTCGAAGCGCCCGAGATAAAAATAATTAGAAGCCACAAAAGAACCAATAACTAGACCAAAAACAATATTGTCTCAAAACATGGGCCACAAGGTGAATCCTATACCAACGTTAAATAAAAACAGCCTGTAAAACCTGAAGAACCAGAAACTATTGAAATGTAAATCGAAGTCACATCACATAAAATTTCAAATCATGAACAAAACCAGAAAAATGTGAAACCATCAAACAAACTCAACGAAAATTTGAATATCAGAACCAGCAACTCCACCCTCAAATCTAAGATCAGAATACCGCCAATAAAAATAAGCGAGGTAGTGGAATGATCAGGGCTTAGGATGACCTCATCAATTGCACAAAACAAATACCAGAATTCTCCACATCAGGGCGATACATCAACGTTCAGACCCACACCATAGCAAACTATCGCACAACAACCAAGTGGTTGGAAGACCGACACTACACCTTCCATTTCAAGATTTTAGACGATGAAAAGAACCTCAGAGTAGTCGTCAGAGGTCTTGATCGTTGCATCATGATCTTCGAGACCTACAGGGCTCCCAAAGGTCAGGAAAATTCCCAGATGTATAAAATGTGGGGGAAAGGACCATTTCACATCTGAAAATACCAAGGAAAACTAAATCCCACCAAAATATGCAAGTTGTTTGGGGCAGCAAACGGCAAGTTGGCATGGTTGCCCCAAATATATAGAAATATAAATAGAGTGCCCTACACACACCCAAAATATTAAGAGACCAACCCTAATGCATAAAAAGGGAAATCTAACCTAAATTCTCCAAACCCTCCTGAAATGACTCAACTCACACAAAACAAGAGCAAAACTCCTAATACAAATAAAGAATGCCTCAATCCTCATACAGACACTAGAGTCAACACAAACTAGAGAGTGCTATCAAAAAGGCTCTCATTAACTTCGCAATAATAGTGATAAACGTTATAGATACCATTAGAGATGCAAATCAACCTTAAAACAACTAAAAAAGCAGTCTTCGAATCGTTCACTGAAAGGCGTGAAGTCTCCGAAACAAAAAAAAAAAAACAATTCTCAGAATTATTAAACGACCACGACATTGATATAGCGCTAGTCTCTGAAACTTGGCTTAAGCCATGCCACAAAATGAGTATTCCCAACTACAACACCCTCCGGAATGACAGACTCACCAGACAAGGTGGTGGAACTGTCATACTTATTCACAAGCAGTGCAGATGTGCACATGTTCAAACCACTCCCTTAAGTCTGTAAATAGCAAGAAATTCTATTAAAAATAAAAATGGGTCAAGTATGAATCTGTATTCCTACTTCAAATCACCAAACACCTATCTAGATCAAACTGATATTTATAACATTTTCTCAGCAGACACTCCGACCATTTTAGAAGGAGATCTAAAGTGCAAACACCTCACTTGGGGTTCCACCACCACTAATCCAAGCGGAAGAAGGCTCTAAAATGTAATTTATTTCACGGACCTAGAGGTGAGCTACTCCGACGAACCCACTCACGATTTATTTCCAGATATCATTGATATCGCCTTACACAAATAATCGAAGGTCTTTCACGAACAATGATCATCTCCCAATATTATTTGTACTACAAGATTTTAAAATATCCTACTCAAATGTAAACATCAAAATAACAGATTAGGCCCTTTTTAAATAGAAGCTAGAAAGCTCTGAACCTCCCGTACTTACCCTAGACACATCTTTTTAAAAAAATATAAGGCTATAACGTATAGAACAAATAGTACAAAACCTGATAGAATAAATGTTATATATATCTTAATCTACAGAATTAAAAATAATCTACATGTATTATTCATTGAAAAGTTAATATATCTGAGTAAAATCATCCTGTACATAAATTTAATGACTTAATATATTTTGATGTAAATAAGAGCTTTTCAATAAATAGAATTTATATAGTCAACATATTGCCATTGGCGACGAGGATAAAGTAAGTACCCACTCTAATGCCATTTCTAAGGTAAATATAAAACGTTAGTTTGAATGTTTAAGTTTTAAAAGTCGAATTATATTGTGTGAAAAAAATATTATTATAATTAATAAAAGAAAATGGTACTCTTGGTGAATATAAAGAAGAGAGTAAATAATTTGAAACTTTCATTGAAAGATTAGAGTAATATTTTATTGTAATAAATGCAGTTAAGGAGCAAATAAAGGCTTTTAAACCCTTATTGGAGTAAATACAGTATTTACAGGGTACTCTGAAGGACTTATGTAGTCCAGTACGAGCAAAGAACTTGAAATAGGAAGAAAATATTTGTAATACTGGTCAAATATATTTTTCTCCAAAACGTTCAAATTATAGTTAAACGATTTATGTTTTTTAAAAGGAAACAACCTTAAGAAAAAAGTATTTCTCATTTTAATTTTTAGAGATTAAACGATTGGCATTGAAATGAGAATTTGGAAACTTTAAAGGATTCCTTAAGGGACAAGTTTGTATGTGGCCCACTGAATACGAAAATACAAGAAAAACTTCTAGCAGAAGGAGATATGCCTTTGGAAAGAGCGCTAGATATCGCTTTGGCAATGGAGGCTGCGAAACAAAATGTAAAATTGCTTCATCAGGAAGAATGGCAAAACAGAATTAATATATTGTGTATCAAAGAAAGAAATAGGGTATATGAGCCCAAAGGTTAAATATAGTGTTTATACACTGTGGTAAGATGTATAAAGGAAAATGCAGATTTATAGAGGCAACCTACTTTAAATGTAAGAAGAGAGGCCATAATGCACCCATCTACAAATATCGTGAAGCCTATCCCGGTAGGAGACTGCATATAATTAATCAAATCAATAAAATGCATCAAATTGAAGATGTTGTGAAGAAGAGTTACTACAATTAACAAAATATAAGGGCCAAGAATTAGAACGAAGATACCCACCTCGTATTAAAGATAAAATATGATTTACCAATAGAGACCAAGAAAATATTTCATAAACCTGTGATCCCCAGGACAAATTACGGCTCGGAGAGAACCTCGGAAACTAACAAGAGAACACGACAACACTAGCTAGGACTCCTATATCGAAAATTTCAACGTCACGGATCAAACCATATGGAAAGCTATTAAACGCTTATCTTGCTCTGAAACACATGAAATGAGCATTGGCTGACACAGAAGAGTAGCCAAATCATTTGCCAATAACTATGAAAAACAGTTTAGCCCTAATCCCTATACATTCTATTTCAGACCTATTCGTATACAGTTTTTTTTTTTTGCTTATCCCTAATACACGTGTTACAGAACAAGATAATCATGGTTGGTAGAAGTAGGCGACTGCTTTTACTGTAAGTGCACCACATGTCTACACATGTGAAAAGCAGTTCAACTTTGCACTTACGAATGTTCTAGAGTCAGGTTTGGTTACTTGCACTCGCTAGTGGGGTTGGAATTTCGCAATATTTGGGGGCCATTGGAGCATTTTTTTTTTAATCAGAAAAAAAAGTGCCCGATGCGGGATTGAACCCGGGTCGTAGCGGTCGAAAATCAACGGTTTAGACCATCCTTCCACCGACCCCGTATGCACAGTAAATATAAAGTAGGTTGAAATCCTCTGAAGAATATAAGTAATAGAATCAAAGCATGCGAGGATGCGTATCTTAATAAAGGAAGCTCGCCTTTATTAAAACTAATAAGATACGCATCCTCGCATGCTTTGATTCTATTACTTACACAGTAAATATGTTAGCACATATGTGAAAAATTGCTAGATACAAGTATCAGAGTCATCAATCAATTCTGTCATCGTTTGCTTTTGTGAATGGAATAAATACCCAAATATGGCCATTCCTTATAAGCATCGGTGGTTCTGTGGTAGAATGCTCGCCTGCCACGCGGGCGGTTCGGATTCGATTCCCGGCCGATGCATTTTTTTTACAATTTTTGAAACTCATTTATATTATTTTTATTATTATTAAAATATACAAGTATCAGAGTCATCAATTCGGTCATCGTTTGCTTTTGTGAATGTATGTAAATAATGGATTTCATATTTTTTATTAAATTTTGTTCTGGCCTTTATTTGTTTAAATCTCTTTTTAAAATCGTTTAAAATGCAGTCGCAATCATTAGCGAACACATATATTTGTCTAATATTCCCATATGCTTTTTTATTTTTTTACAGAAAAATATTTACATGCCAGTACTTCAGATTAATTTTTTTATAAACCTTTTTTTATTATTATTTTTACTGAGAATATGGGCATCGCAGTCAGGATTCTTTACAGTCAGTCACTCAACTAAGGCAATTTCAAAGGTTAATGGGGGTTTGGTGGAAAAGCTGCCGTCTATTTGAACTATATTAATTTGAAACAACTAAATGGATTGCAAAAAATAATTAAATCAAATACCTAAACACTAATATAATACAATTTTGCCATTACACACTTTTTTCCTGTAGTTTATGTGTTTCTTCTGTATTGCTATTCTTTGGCACTTATACTATTTATTATTAAATTATAAAACTATTTTAGAGGCGTAATATTCTTTTTAAAATAAAACAATTTCTACTGTCCTTACTGCGATGGAAAAATTAAAGGGAGGGCCTGGCTCATCAGTGGTGAACCCTCCCAGCGGTTTCGCCAGTTTAATCTACCATACCGCTGTTATATTGCATTTTTGTAACTTCCTTTTATAGGTGACTGTTGTAAGACTCTTGGAATGGGTATTTTAGAAGAACTATGGACATAAGCTTTTAGGACAGCAGAATTAAATATAATTATAAATATATAATATGCTTCGAGCAATCGCTCTTCCGCAAATATCAAATTGTGTCTTTTATTAGAACAATAATGTTACGTTATATAAAGCGCCATCTGTTATCAAATTATAAAACTATTTTAGAGGCGTAATATTCTTTTTAAAATAAAACAATTTCTACTGTCCTTACTGCGATGGAAAAATTAAAGGGAGGGCCTGGCTCATCAGTGGTGAACCCTCCCAGCGGTTTCGCCAGTTTAATCTACCATACCGCTGTTATATTGCATTTTTGGAACTTCCTTTTAATTTTTCCATCGCAGTAAGGACAGTAGAAATTGTTTTATTTTAAAAAGAATATTACGCCTCTAAAATAGTTTTATAATTTGATAACAGATGGCGCTTTATATAACGTAACATTATTGTTCTAATAAAAGACACAATTTGATATTTGCGGAAGAGCGATTGCTCGAAGCATATTATATATTTATAATTATATTTAATTCTGCTGTCCTAAAAGCTTATGTCCATAGTTCTTCTAAAATACCCATTCCAAGAGTCTTACAACAGTCACCTATAAAAGGAAGTTCCAAAAATGCAATATAACAGCGGTATGGTAGATTAAACTGGCGAAACCGCTGGGAGGGTTCACCACTGATGAGCAAGGCCCTCCCTTTAATTTTTCCATCGCAGTAAGGACAGTAGAAATTGTTTTATTTTAAAAAGAATATTACGCCTCTAAAATAGTTTTATAATTTGATAACAGATGGCGCTTTATATAACGTAACACTATTTATTATTGATGTGCTTTCAGTATGAAGTATACTTCACTCGGGGGATTTCTCGGGCGAAGCCGGGTCATTCTTCTAGTTATAAATAAACAGGACTAGAACCAACAAACATTGGTAAAAGAAAAGCAATTTTTGAAACCTTACCAAATATAAAAGCTCTCGGAATTGATTAATCACCTAATAAATATTTTAAATTGCTTCCAAATCACATATTAACATCAATAATTGAAACCTTTAATGCGTCAGTGAAGCTTGCCCACTTCCCCGACAGATAGAAAACGTCAATTATCTTTTCTATACCTAAAAAAGGGAAATATATACATGAACCAGCAAGCTACAGGCCTATCTCACTGCTACCTGCCATCTCAGAATTATTTGAAAGAATAGTTCTATAAAATAATCCCTTGCATCAATATTGAGTAAAATTAATCATTCCTCCAGGGAAAAGTCTCTTTTCAAAACATTTTTATTGTTCTCTAGCTTTCGGGCACGGACGCCCTTCTAGAGGAGAAAACCTGGTATAATGACACGCCAATAGAACACGAGTTAAATATAATCGGGGGAGTTACTATTATACATATTTTATGAAGTTCTATACCTTTTTAAATATTATTTTTCATATTAAATATTATACAAATATTGAGACAAAATATTTTAAAAATATATATCTCTAATAAGAGGACAAACAAATAAATAAATATAGGCCACTAGAAAATAACTAAGGAAACAAGGAATACATAATTAGCTGTAGTTATCATTATTAGGAGATGTCTATCTGGTTCCCACCATTGCTATTCAGAGGCGAATTCTGTATTTAGATGATTTGGGGTGAGCTCAGGGAATAGTATATTATATACTAGCCGAATGACCCGGGCAACGCCCGGGTTTTACCCTATTAAATGTACCCTGTTTCACCCGTGGTCTCTGTTTTTTGGAATTTTTCCCGATATAATTTTGTATCTGATAATCAAACATGATAGAGCAAAATTTTTAAAATAGCCTATCGTCTTCCCAGTATTCTTTTACCTAGGTCTGGAAATTTTGGTTTGAATTAGTGAACTACTGCGAATTTGTAGACGAATGACCCGGGCAACGCCCGGGTTTACACGATTAAATGTATATTACATATGGAAGATGGACGTAGTTCCCGGAGGGCACCCGCGAGGTCACTCCGCCCCCGCCTAACTGTCCAACCGGGAGCGCCCCCCGCCGTCAAAATCGCCACGCGTTCTAGAGGGCGCTGCTCGTGAGCTCAACCGGCCGGCAGCCGGGAGATCTCATTTACTCGGCGGGGGGGGGGGGGGAAGTCACGTGCTGCGCCGGCAGCCAATCGTCGCGCGCCGCCGTCGACGCCTGAGTGTTCTAGAGGGCGCTGCTCGTGAGCTAAGTTGAATAATTTGAATATATAGTTTTAATAAATGATTTATATATATTTTAAAATAGCCTATCGTCATCCCCGTTATTTTTTACCTATGTATAGAAATTTTGGTTTGAATTAGTGAACTACTGCGAATTTGTATAAGGGTCATACAGACAGACAAACAAACAAACATACAAACATTCATTTTTATATATATAGATATCTGGAATGTCTATTCTTCTGTTAATACTATTGTGCTTTCTTGATATTATGGATTCTATGATGAGTCTCTGTTGTTTATTGGGGATGTTGGAGTAATGGGTTCTTGGTTCTGATAGTCCGAAGGAATATTAGATGTAAAAATCATGCCTATAGAGAATAAATTCCAAACAACTGTTCACTATAAGCCATCTTTCAACCCCGACTATATCAGTTTTTCCTCCTACTGCCCTCTCAGCCATAAAATCAATACCGTAAAGACCCTTACCAAACGTGTCCATAGCCACTGCTCACTTCAGACCTTTAAAACAGAAGAAACTCAGAACATCTTAAGGAATCTAAAAGCTTGCCAATATCCTTTATCATTTATTTTAAGACATTTCCATAGCTCGTCTGAAGTACAAAATTCCCCAGTTTACAAATCTATTTTCAGCATTCCCTACACACCAGTATCCATATCAATAGCTCGTCATCTGAAAAAAATTCGCCATTAAAACCTGCTTCTGCAACTCACCCAGTTCAAGTTCACTACTAAAAACCCTATAAAAAAGCAAAAACCTTAAGTATCCTTCCAATATTAAGAATGTCATATACTCTATATAGAATATAGAGTATAGTATACTCTATAGAATGCAACGAATGCAAAACCAAATACGTAGGTGAAACCAGTAGAAATTTAAATATAAGAATATCAGAACATCAACGAAATATCGAAAACCAGGACAATAGATCTCTAGTATATAATCATGTAAGAGAAACAGGTCATTCCTTCGCACTATCAGAACCAAGAACCCATTACTCCAAAATATCCCCAATAAACAACAGAGACTCATCATAGAATCCATAATATCAAGAAAGCACAATAGTATTAACAGAAGAATAGACATTCCAGATATATATAATATACTATTCCCTGAGCTCACCCCAAATCATCTAAATACAGAATTCGCCTCTGAATAGCTATGGTTGGAACCAGATAGACATCTCCTAATAATGATAACTACAGCTAATTATCTATTCCTTGTTTCCTTAGTTATTTTCTAGTGGCCTATATTTATTTATTTGTTTGTCCACTTATTAGAGATATATATTTTAAAAATATTTGTCTCAAATTGTATAATAGTTAATATGAAAAATAATATTTTTATATCTATAGAACTTCATAAAATATGTATAATAGTATCCCCCCGATTATATTTAACTCGTGTTCTATTGGCGTGTCATTATACCAGGTTTTCTCCTGTAGAAGGGCGTCCGTACCCGAAAGCTAGAGAACAATAAAAATGCTTTTGAAAAGACACTTTTCCCTGGAGGAATGATTAATTTCACTTAACAATGAAAGAATAATGTTTAGGGGACTCAGAAAAATCCCTTGAAGAAAATAATCCACTCAGATCTGAGCAATTTGGCTACCAAGAAAAGCACTCAACATTGCACCAGCTAGCTGTTGTCACTGAAAAATGATAAAAGCCATTGACTTAGGCCAAATAACAGGAGATGTTTTTTGACATCGCCAAAGATTTCGACAAAGTCTGGCATGAGGCCCTTCTTTACAAAATATTCAAAAGGCACCTTCTTGGAGATATATAAATAACACAAAACTTTTTAACGAACAGAAAATTCAAGTTAAAGGTCAAATATGAATTATTAACAGCTAGGAGAATCCTCTCTGGGGTCCCTCAAGGTTCATTCACTGGGACAACCTTTTTTGAAATATACACATCGGTAATTTCTCCTTTATTAAATAAACATCACTGCACTTATTTTCCGATGATACCGTCATTTTAACATCGACATATACA